GGAGCGTCCCCGCCGCGGCCGCGCTCCACCGGCCGCGCTGGCCGAGTCCGGGTCGCCGAAAAGCCCCTTCTTTCACCTCGGGTCCTCGCAGCCGTCCCGTCGGCGCGCCAGCTGAGGGAGCCCCAAGTTCTGCCCGTGAGCCGCGCCCCGTGTGTGCCGCGCATCTCCCCCAGCCTCGTCGCGCTGCTGGTCCCCTTTGTCCGACCCCCCACCCACTCGGCGCCTGGAGAGTTTCTGCCCCTGGGGAAATGGAGGTGGGGGCAGAAGGGCTGAAGGAGGAGGGACCCGGAAGGGCTGAGTGCCGGGAGGACGCGCAGCGCGGAACCCCTCTGGGCGGAAGGTTTGAAGGGCTTTGAGCAATTTTCCTGATGTCAGACGGATTTTACGCTCCTCTTCACAATCAGTTCCCAATTGTGGTCTGGAAGCCCGGGCTCAGGCTTCTCTCCCCCGGAGCGAAGGACTGAGTGTGTCGCCCACCGCTCGTTCTGCTACAGGCTTTGACCTGCCCTAGTGGTCCTCTTCTTCGCATCTTGCCTAGGGGGCGGGTCTGTTCTGCCGAGGGCTTTGACCCGCCCTACTGGTCTCTCTTCCCATCTTGCCTGGGGGGCGGGGGAGGGAGGAAGAGTGTCGGAGAGAGCCTTTTTTTTCTATTTGAAAAAAGAAAAATCAGATTCCAGACGTGGACGTCTATTTAGTCTTAATTAATTAGATTGATCTTAATACATTTTAAATAAACAAGATTGTGGGAATGGGAAAGAGGATTGAGGTGTATTCTTAAAAAGTCCCATTTGGGGCCCTCCCTATGGGTTAAAAGCGCAGCACTATGAAGCTCTCCACAGCCACTGTAGCACGAGGTCTATCCCTCTCACCAGGGAGGTGGCCCACGTGGCGTGGCAGACCTCTCCTGACCCACCTGCTGCTCCCGTGGCGGTGTACTTTGTCAATCTGCTTATTCTGCTCTCCATTCTGTCTCTGGTGAATCCTCTCAACCCCCACACCTCTGGCCTGTACCCCAGTTCTTGATGCATAAATAAATAAATCTTTTTTTTAAAACAAGGTCTTCTTTATCATATAAAGTCCCATTTTATCATGAGTGCAAGTAGATTTAGTAGTCTAATTTGAACTTCAAACTTTTTCTTACTATCAGGTTTTGGTAATTTTATACCGTTTTTTCCCCCTAGAATGGGGTGCACTGTGCCGGCTATTACTAGAGTTTATATGTTAATAAGGGTTATTTGTTCTAGTCTTTTATATTCAGACTCTTAGGGCTGCTTTCTTGAACACTAATTTAACTGGAAGTTTTACTGAATGGTTGTCTCTGGCTTGTGATTCAGTTGTGTAAAGGAAATTCAAAAGAAAAAAAATCTTTACATATAGATAATTTAGGTTGTTCTGAAATACGTATATTATAAATGAGTGGTACATTTGAAATCCACATATAAGTTTTAAAGTATTCACAGCCCCTGCTCCTCCGGCCTGTATGCATAAATAAATAAATCTTAAAAAAAGATTTTATTTATTTTTGTGTAGAAGAACCGGGGTACAGGCCAGACATAGGGAGGGATGAGAGGATTCACCAGAAACAGAGTGGGGTGCAGAACTGGCAGATCTACTGAAATATACTGCTAAGGAGAGCAGCAAGTGAGGTAGGAGAGATTTGCTGTGCCAAATGGGTTAGCTCCCTGGTGAGATTGGAACTGGGGCCATAGTGGTGATAGTGCTAAGACTTTTTAACCCCTAGGCCAACAGGGAGGTCCTTTAGAACTTTTAAATGATTTTTTTTGGGGGGGAAATAGAAAAAACCTCACCTACATCTTTGCCCAGCATTCTATTTTTTGTGAGGCCCAACAAATTATAATGAAATACTCCATGCTCTCACATACATCTCAGTTTGTGTGATATGAAAATGACGATATGCTGGGCACAGAATTGGAAAACAATGAAGTCTTATAAAATATTTTCAGTTGGGTTCAAAACAACATTTTACAATTATTAAACCAATTTTTTAATTTTTTAGCACAATAATAAATGATTTATATTGAGCACCTTTTGTATTCCAGGCAGTTCATTTAGTGCTTTATTTACATTGTTAATTTTTACAGTAATCCCAAAGGAAGGTATTGTTTTTCCTTATGTTATAATTGAACCTGTTAAAACTATAGATTGTACTGCTAGAAGTGGTGAAGCTGGTTGAGAATCTAGATCTGACTTTTACTCATTTTGTTCAGAGTATATTTCATTGGAATGTTGCAGTAGCTCCTTTTCTTGGTCACATTTTTTCTTTTTCTTTTTCTTTTTAAAGATATTTATGCATGCATGCAAGAACTAGGGTATAGACCAGAGATACGGTGGGGGATTGGTTGGGGTGTTTGTGTGAAAGGATTCACCAGAAGAGTGGAGAACAGGCAAAATGACTGCTGAAGGGAACAGCTGACCATGTGTGGGTCACCTACCTGGCCCAGAATTGAACTTGTGCTTCAGTGACTGCATAGTACTGCGCTTTTACCCCATGTACCACTAGGAGTGGCCTGGTCACATTTATATTGCATAGTCCTCCCTACATGCCAGGTATCTGTCCATGTATCCTCAAAACTATGTGGACTGACTACTGTTATCTTTGTTTTACAGAGAAAATTGAAACATAGAGAAAAAAATCGGAATCAGGTTAATACCCAAAGTGGGATGAACACTTGGGCAGTGTGGCTTTACAGTACATACTGTTAATCTGCTACACGATTGGAGCCAATTAACAAGGTACTTCTCTGATTACTAGGGTACTGTGATTTTAGATTTTGTTTTTCTTTGTTTCCTTTTAATGTTCATATTGAAACATGGTTAACTAAGATGTTTGCCATCTGATGCCCTATGCATAGTACTAATCATAGGTAACATTTACTGAGTATGTGGGTCTCCATTCCAGTCACCCAGTCCAATATTTAAACATCTCATGTAAACATCTCATGCTCAGCAAACTCCTAAGAGGTAGATACTAGTATTTTATACTGTATCATATTTGTGAGGTGCTTTTATTGTCTTTACAGTGTCTTCACGGGACCCTTTCATTCTGTTACATCAGTCTGTTATTAACACTACTTCATTTTTTTTTTACTGAAACTAAAATGATTTGCTTTGACAGATTCCTGTATACACTTTTTTCTGCTGTCTTGGCTTGTCAGTACATCTTTGTTTTGTTCTTCTTGTCTTAAAATAGGCAGTATATTTCTATCAGAACAATTTGTATTTGGAGGTTATATTCCCAACTCAAAATTCAACATCAATTAAAGCAAAGACATGATTAGCTGTAAACTTTTATCATTATTTTCATCTGTAAATGTGTATTCTGACAGATATGATGCTTGGTATGTTGTGGGAACTTAGTAAATACTTGAATAAAGTAAGAACTGTCCCATATACATTGATACAGAAAGGTTCTCAACATGTTTTTTTAAACTTCAGCTATGTTGAAGTATAATTGACATAAATTCATACAATTCTCTAAGATTAGATGGGGAAGCTTTTCTTTTTGATACCACAGCCTTTCCCCTGCCCTTCCTCACAGATAGGCTTTTAAAATTATTTCATTGAATCATGAATAACTTCAGGATATTACCTTCCTACATTTACAACTAGTAATTACATGCCACAATAACAAGGATTGTGCTTGTTCTAAAGTGTTAGATTAACTTGGTTTTAAGTTTTATTTGATTATATCAGTGAAGTTAGGTATGTTCTAAAGAAATTATGGCGTAAGGCTAGAATAACATAATTTTTTTTAAACAAGCTGGGTTTCATTGTTTTAACAGTTTAATTCCACCATCTATGAATTGCTAGATAGAATGTAAATCAGGAACACTTAAGAATTATTTTTGGGAGCCCTCCCTGGTGGCGCAGCGGGTTAAAGCACTTAACAGCGGGTTAAAGTAGCTTTAGCTACTTCCGCAAGAGTTCAATCCCCGCCTGCCCGGGAGGAGACCACATGGCGTGGCAGACCTCTCCTGACCCGCCCGCTGCTCCCCTCAGCAGTATACTTCGTAGATCTGCCTGTTCTGCTCCCCACTCTGTCTCTGGTGAAGCCTCTCACCGCCCCTGAGCCTCTGGCCTGTACCCCAGTTCTTTATGTACAAAATAAATAAATCTTTAAAAAAAAAAAAAAAAATTTTTTTTGGAGGATAACATGTGTCCCATTTCCCCCCAGTGCTTATTTGAAAAATATTAAACATACAGTAAAGTCAAAAGAATGTTACAGTGAACACCCATATGCCTACCATGTGATTCTACCATTAATTTTTTTTTCAAATATTTATCCATCTATCCATTCACCAATTTATAATATTCATGTGCAAAATATACTGAAAAATATTTGAATTGTATTATTCTGTGCTCATTTTAGGTCAGTTTTAGTTTTCCTCTGAATAGTAGTAGATAATTCTTAGGAATGAATTGTACCTGATTTATAATGTCCTGACAATGTTTGGATTTCAGGTTATAAATAAATCTTTTTGTCTTCTTTACCCATAGTTCAAAAAGATGAGTCGTGGGTATTCAGAAAATAACAATTTCCTGAACAATAACAGCCAAATGGTATTGGACATGATCCTTTATCCATTAATCGGAGTCCATCAGACCATCAATTGGGAAACTGTGGCAAGACTTGTGCCTGGATTAACACCTAAAGAGGTAACTAACAATCTCTTAGGTAACTCTTTTTTTTAAAAAAATCAGGAAAAGTGATCAATTTACAGAAACAGTTAAGAGAAGAAAAAAAATTTTTTAAATTTATATATTTTTTTACGTCATTCATTTTTGTACAATATTTACTTTTTCCTCTCAGGTGTAGTCCCTATAAAATTCCCACCACCAATTCACCTGTGCACCATCACCCTGTATAGCCCCTTGTATTCTTCCTTCCCTTGTTTTGATCCTTCTCCTTCTCCGTACCCTACAGAATGTCTGATTTATAGTTGCCTGTTAACTTTATTTATTTAATATTATTATTTTCCTGATCTCTTATTTGGTTCCCCTATATTTCTCCTGTAAGTGAAACCACTGGGTACTTTTCTTCTTCCTCCTGACTTATTTCACTGAGCATAATTCCTTCCACCTTCATCCAAGTTGCTATAAATGGCATAAGTTTATCTTTTTTAATTGCTGAATAGTATATATACACCACATCTTCTTGATTCAGTCCTCTATTTTTGGGCATTTGGTTTGGTTCCATATCTTGCCTATTGTAAATAGTACTGCAATAAACATAGAGGTGTGGGTATCTTTTTAAATTAATGTTTTTTGTGTTCTTTGGGTAGATCCCTAAGAGTAGAATTGCTGGGTCATATGGTAGCTCCATTTTTAGTAATTTGAAGAACTTCCACACAGATTTCCATAGTAGTTGAAACAGTTTGTATTCCCACCAGTAGTGTAGGAGAGTTCCTTTGTTTCCACATGCTTGCCAACATTTGTTGTTGCCATTCTCACTCATAAGGTGGTATCTCATTGTGGTTTTGATTTTCATTTCCCTGGTAATAACTGATGTTGAACATTTTTTCATATACCTGTAGGCTATTTGCATTTCATCTTTGGAGAAGTGTCAGTTTAGCTCTAAGAGAAGAAATTTTTTTGAATTATATATCATATGCATGTATAAATACAGAATGTAAAAAATATTAATTTGACCAAATATAAATTATATAAATTATATATATTAACCCACGTGGTGGGTTTAAGTTTAGCCTCATCTTACATGTTTCTGACAGCTGAAAATTAACTAATCAGATCTTAATTTAAGCAGTAGAGGTATTTCTATAAAATTATAGGTCATAAAGTATTTATAAATTAGATTATATATTATTACAGCTCTAATGATGTGTTTCTCAAATTGGAGTAATATTTAGATCTTTAAAAAATTTTTGAAAACTCCCAATTGTTTTAATTATGATGTAATTTAAATTGTTTTTATTATTATGTAATTTAAATTGTTTTTATTATGATGTAATTTAAATATGCAGTAACATTACTACATATAAACATATTTATACTACTGTAAACTAAATTTACATATTATAGGCATAAGTGAAAACTAAAACTAAAGAAATGCTTACTTAGTGTGATAAGTGTTTTGCCAAAATTAAATTGCTGATTATAACTCAAATATTATGCAAGCTCTTGTAGCACAGAATTCTTTGTGTTCAGTATATACTGCCCTGTGCCTTTCAATGCATCTCTCCTCTATCAATTCCTTTACCCATCTTTTTGTGTTTTGGAATTAATCTTGGGTAATTAAAGTATTTCTTGGTACAAATTTAATTGTAAAGAGAACAGTGGCTAGCCACTGAAATAATCTGCCTTCCTGGTGATTTAGAAGATTTTATTCATGCTATCCTCAGAATTAGAACTTAAAATCTAGAAGTTTTTAAAGGGAATTCTTAAATTTCTGGCAATTTTATCCATAAACCCTAGTTTAAAAAAAAAATTGACTCAGAATTTTTGCTGGGAAAAGAAATCCTAAGGGGCCTTCTTTGTGGCCTTGACATTAAGTCTCAGCACTATCACCACCAGGGCCTGAATTTGAGCCCTTGCCTGATTTTGAGCCTCAGCCAGGGAGGTAAGCCATATATGGCACAGCAGATCTTTTTTGTCTTACCTGCTGCTACCCTTAGCAGTGTATTTCAGTAAATCCACCTGTTCTGCTTCCCACTTCGTCTCTGGTGAATCCTCTCACCCTCCCACCTCTGGACTACAACCCAGAACTTCTATGTAAGAATATGTTTTTACCCTCCCTGGTGGTGCAACAGGTTAAAATGCAGCACTGTGAAGCTCTCCATAGTCACTGTAACATGAGTTCAATCCCTGGCCAGGGAGGTAATCCACATGGCGCAGCAGACATCTCCCTCACCTGCTCTATCAGTGTGTCTATTCTGCTTCCTGGTGAATCCTCTGTCTGTCGCTGGTGAATCTTCTCACCACCCTTCCACGTCTGGCCTTTACTCCAATTCTGTATGCATAAATAAATAAATTTTTTTTGATTGAAAAAGAAAGAAATCCCAAAGTGGGTATGAATAGCCTCAGAGTTCTGGAAGTAGAAATGACATTACTGATTCTCACCAATAGGTTTTAAGCATATTTACCACCATTGTCACATATATAAACAAATATTTGTTGAATCTTTGAATGATTAAAGTTCACCCACCTTCCTTAATAGCTGAGAATATCAGGACCACAGAGATTATTTGCCCTTTTTTGATAGGTCTTTCTCAAAATGATGAAGGAATTTAGTTTTTTAGTGAATCTTATCTCTAACTTATACTTTTACCTTTTGAGTTTTCACATGTTAGATTTTAAAACAAACCTGTGAATTCCATTATCTCCAGTTTTTTATTGTGAATGTTTTCAGATACATATAAAAGTTGACTGTGCCTCATATCCTTTAAATACACCTCCAGACTAGAGCAAACATCTAAAAAATTGAAGGCATTACATAATCATATTACCATGACCAAGCCTAAGAAAATTAACAATTCACTAAATTGAAGAGTTTTTAAACCAAAATACATGAACTTTAATCAGATTATTTTATGTGGTGTTGATTTCTTTTATTACTAACAAAATATATCCATAAAGAACAAATACACACAAAAGAAACAAGCAAAAAAAAATCAGAATCTACCTAAAGTGATACCTCATATATATATCATTCCAGATTCTTTTCTGTATATATGTGAATTCTTAAACTGAACAGTTAACAAATGTACTATTTTGTTAATTCCTTTTCCACTTAGCATATTGTAAACATTTATATTTCAGTTAATAGACTTCTACATTTTTTCCTATGATTTTTGATGGCCTTTAGTGTTACTTGAACTATATCACAATTGATTGGACCAGTTTTTTTTGTTGGATATTTAGGCTATTATTTCTGTGTGTGGACTACTACAAATACCACTAAAACAAATATCTTATTCTCCTTTCTGTAAGGGATTATCTCAGAAACAGACTTACTAGATCAAAGAGCACATGCACTTTAAAGGCTTTTAATGCATATTGCCCACTACAAGTGCATCCATGTTAATGCTCAAATTAACATAGCTGAGTATTTGAATTTGTACTTTCTTTATCATATAATATCTGTATCTTTTCAAAATTCTCATTTATTTATGGTTTTAATATTTTTTAAAGATTCATTTATTTATACAAACAAGAGCTGGAATGTAGTCCAGACATATGGAGAGGTGAGAGGATTCACCAGAGACAGAATGGGGAACAAAACAGGCAGGTGTACAGAAATACTCTGCTGAGGGGAGAAGTGGGTGAAGCAAGATAGTCTGCCATGCCATGTCTGCCTCCCTGGCCAGAAATTGAACTTACACCGCAGTGGCAGTGGATAGCTTCATAGTGCTGAGACTTACCCCTTACACCAGCCAGGAGGTCCTGTTTATGTTTTAATTACATAACATTTATGTAATTTCATAACATAATTTTAGTAAATGTTTTCTCTATGTACCTTTACCTTTCTTTAAAGCCTGACGAGATTTTTACATTTTATATTTTATTGTTCCATATTCTTTTTTTGTGAATTTGCTGTTTGCTACTAGTTTAATGAAAGGTTTCTATGACAAATTTTTTAAAAAGTAAAAAATAAATCAAAGATGTATGTCTCTTGGAACTTGTGCTAGTTGTCTAGATGTTACCTAGCAAATTAATATACACTTAGAAAAAATGATTATAGAAAAGTGTCTTCAAATAGAAGTCAAGAAAATAAACTTCTCATTCTTAATGAAAGAACTCCAAAAATCCAGACCTATATTCCTTTCTTTTATATCATTACAGTGTGCAAAAAGGTTTGATGAACTGAAGAGCAGTGGAAGTTCTCCTGTTGACAACCAGTATAATACTCTAATGGCTACTGGAGAGAGTCCTATTGAATCTTTAGCTATGTATATTAAATCCTCACTTCTTGATACACAGGGAGAATTTCAGGAGACTCCAGTCTGTCAGGATACAGCTTCCAAAGCAGGTGAGATTTTAAAACAAAAATGCAGTTCTAGTCCTTATAATTCTGTGAAATATTATGTATTGCAATCAACTTCACTTATTTAAAGACTATAATCATTAATAGAAAAATTATTTGTATCTTAACACAATTTAGAAAAATTTCTTTGCTATATTTGAAATTTTCAGTGTTACTAGAGAGGTTAAACACTACCAAAAAAAAGAGAGAGAGAGAGAAAGATGCTTTACTATATCAAAAAATTTACTGCTTCAGTCTGTTAAACTAGTTTTGTCACCAGTTTTAAAGACATTTGACCTGTACTCATTTTTTCCCCCTAGAGGATAATTGCTTTTCTCTCTTGATATCTTTTTGATAGCTACTATTTCTTGTAGTTGACAGTAGCTTCAAAAGACACTGTGGAAACATAGAAGAGATGTTTCCTACAGTTAAGTTAGATAGAGCTCATTATAGAAATCCTCAGAGTGCAATGAATTATTTTAATGTCAGTAGCAACAGTCAGAAGTTGATAATAAATTTTGCTTTAGGAAAACTAAATTCTTGTCTTTTGAACATTGGATCCCACCTATATATACCAACCATATTAGTATTTTTTGAATCTTCAGTATAACATTGGCAACTTGTGCTCCTTTTTTGGTACTGTTTTTTCCTCCAAATACCTTTAGAAATATTAAGGAAATGCTTCCTGACAAAATGCTATCTTTAACTAGCCTCGAAAATCACATTGCAATATAGCCATTCAATAAGTAAAAACCGATTCTCAGCTAGAAATGCTAACTTCCCCCTTTGTTTGTGTGTTTGTTTCTATATTTAAGGAAGACACAGTATAGCTTCCACAAGGAATTGTTCTTCAGAAAGTGAAAATTGTATTACTCTTAACGGTGGTGAAGAAAAGACTGAAGAAACTGAAGGGTAGGAGGCTTGTGCTTTGCTAGATAAGAGTTAATATGAATATCAAATTATATATGATTGGTGATTGTATATATCAGTTACTATAGTTTAGGAATTTAATATTAGGCAATTGTTGAAACAATTGACTTGTGTGTTAAACTAGAAATTGTTGCTTTATAGCTAAAGATATGACTAATTCATGTTTTTATTTATAAACTGGACTATAATTTTCCATTTTAAAATTTTATTTTCATATTTATAAGTATTAGAAATAATGTCCAGTAACAAAACTCTGAAAAGTATATTTTAAACCTCAGAAAAATATCTGCCATTAGTTTCCAATATTATTAGCAAAACTGGATGTGAATTATAGGGTTATTTGAATGCAATTACTCATTGTAGAAACATTTTAGAAATAGAATATATCTTTCAGTAAATTGCAAGTTTTGTTACAGAAAATTTTCATTTTCTACCAGAAAAGTTTGAAGAAGTTCTGGATAGATAGTTGCACAACAATGTGAATGCTACTGAACTCTGAATTTGTACTGAAATTGTGAATTTACAAATGGCTGAACTGTCTGATTTTATGTTATGTGTTGTTTACCAAGAACAGACATACTTTTAAAGTTTATTATTTTCACACATATTTTTGAACAGCTAGACTTGTTTGTGTGACACAAAAATTCACTGGAAAAATTTTTTACTGAAATTCCTTAGTATTTTATATTGTGATCCAAACAGTTATAGAAACTTTATGATTCACTTTCCCAACCAATACCTATTTATATTTTGACCTCAGTTTCTTTGGAAGAGCAATTTACAAAGAATTATTTCAATTACTTTGAGTTTGATAGTATATTGACTACTCCTTTTTCTGGTAGCCCAATTTTATTTCAAATATAATTTTTTTTGTATTAGAAATTTATGAAGTTTTATTAAACACACTTTAAATTCATATAGTAGGGTTGTTGTTCTCTTCCTTTATAATGACATGAAGGAAATTATGGACCACACTAATGTGAGATGGTATATATTTCATATATATATATATATTTAATTTGAGATGATATATATTTCAAAGGAAAGTAAATTGAAGTATATAATTTTCAAGTCATCTTTCTGCTGTATTGTCTGAATTTAAATTATTTCTTAAATAATTTGGTACACTGTAGTCTTTTACTTTCATTTACTAATTATTTGTAGTAAATGCCTGGAAACAAACTTTCTTATTGCTAAAAACTACTTGGTAGCTGTGATAATTTTTTGAGTCTTTAATGAATAATTTCAACTGTTTTTCATCTTTGTTAATTGTAAGAAATTTTTATTATTTAAACGTTTATTATTTAATTTAAAAAAGAATTGTGAAATTACTGAAACCTATGAAACTGATCTATGTTCAAAACCTTCACAAATGTTGTTTTTGAACTTCCAGTAAATGCCAATATTCTCTTCTAAAACTCTAATAATTTCATTTCTGTGTGATATTTCTTATGAAGGCCAAACATGGTAATCCATGTATGTGATGAAGCAAAAAACTTGAAAGAAGATTTTATTTGTCCACGAGATCTTTTGATATCAGAAATGAAGTACTTTGCTGAATATTTATCTGTGGATGCCCAGCGCTGGGAAGAGGTGGACATTTCAGTTCATTGTGATGTTCACATTTTCAACTGGTTGATAAAATATGTTAAAAGGACCACCAAGGAGAATAAAGATTCTGAAACCCCCACTTTAGGTAACAACGACAAAAAAAATCTGTTACTTTATTTTGTAGTGAAATTTCTGTGTCACTTGGTAATTGCTTTAGACCAAACTTGAAATGTGGAAAATTGTCTGGACATTAGTATTTTTTTTAAAGATTTATTTATTTATGCATACAGAACTGGGGTACAGGCCAGAGGTGCAGGGGTGGTGAGAGGATTCACCAGAGACAGAGTGGGGAGCAGAACAGGCAGACTAATGAAGTACACTGTTGAGAAGAGCAGCGGTCAGGAGAGGTCTGTCGCCTCATGTGGGTCACCTCCGGGACAGGCAGGGATGGAACTCATGTGGAACTGGCTTTAGCTTTTTAGTGCTATGCTTTAACTTGCCACATCACCAGGGAGGGCCTGGACATTAATGTATTTTTTTTTTAAAGATTTATTTATTTTAATGCTTACAGAACTGGGGTACAGGCCAGAGGTGTGGTGGGTGAGAGGATTCACCAGAGACAGAGTGGAGCAGAACAGTGTACACTGCTGAGGGGAGCAGTGAGCAGGTCAGGAGAGGTCTGCTATACCGTGTGGGTCGCCTCCGGGACAGGCAGGGATGGAACTCATGCTAAAGTGACTTTAGCCTCTTAGTGTTGTGCTTTAAACTGCTGTGCCACCAGGGAGGGCCTGTTTTTTTTTTAAAAGATTTATGTCTACCAGAGCTGGAGTGGAATCTAGAGGTTCAGGGACTTTAACCCCTTGCATCACCAAGGAAGCCCCAGACATTAATACTTTTGTTCAGATTTAATTTCAAATTTATAGCAAATGGACAGATTTCTACATCAGCAATTCTCAGTGTATTTTACATGGACACTTTGAATTGTAGAGAATGTTTTTGTTTTGTTTTTAAGAAGATCCATAAGCAGTACAATTTGTATAGAATAGCTAAGATGTTCTTTGTCTTTCTGTATTGATATTTATTCAGATGGTGCAGAAATAATGGAGAGAAAGTGTTGGAACTTGAGCACTTACCAGGGCAGGGGCACCAAAATATACTAGTGGTCACTGTAATCTTTAGCTCTATGTGCTAATAGTTAAGGAAAAAAGAAAAACTTCAGTTCCAATTAAGAATGTCCTTGATGAAACAGTAAAAGTTACCCTTTATTAACGTGTGACCCTTGGAACATACATCTAGCCAGTATCCTATGTAATGACATGAGATTTGCGCTGCTGCTGATAGCAAGGGTGTCTGCTGGAAATGCTTGCCTGGCTGTTTGAGGTATAAGCCTGAGTAGCTGCTTTTTTTTTTTTTTTGTAAGATTCATTTATTTATTCATACAGAACTGGGGTACAGGCCAGAGATGCGGAGGGTGAGAGGATTCACCAGAGACAGAGTGGGAAGCAGAACAGGCAGATGATCAAAGTGCACTGCTGAGGGGAGCAGTGGGCGGGTCAGGAGAGGTCTGCCACGCCATGTGGATCTCCTCCGGGACAGGCGGGAATCGAACTCATGCGGAAGTGACTTAAGCTTCTTAGTGCAGTGCTTTAACCCACTGCGCCACCAGGGAGGGCTGGTAGCTGCTTTTTTAAAAAAATAGAAAACTTGGCCTCCCTGGTGGTGCCAGGGGTTAAGTCTCAGCACTGTCTAGCTATTGGCAGCCACTGCAGCATGAATTCAATCCCAGGTAGGGAGCTGACACACATGGCACAGCAGACCTCTCCTGTCTTTCCTGCTCTTCCGCTCAGCAATGTATTTTGATCAACCTGTCTGTTCTGCTCCTTACTTGGTCTCTGGTGAATCTTCTCATGCCCTACACCTCTGGCCTACATCCCAGCTCTTGTATACATAAATAAATTTTCAAAATAAAATAAAAAATATAAAACCATTTTTCTTGAAAGAATAGTTGACAGCTTATGGTTACTCAGACTAGGTAGATAACAGACATTTTCTTGAAAGTGTATTAAGTGGAACTAGTCAATGAAAGGGAAACAATAGTCACTATATTTGGAAAGCTTTTATCTGCTTCTGTGTGCTTGACAACTTCTAAATCTCTACTAAAGACTTTTCTGATTAGATTGGTGGCCATATTAATGAATATGGTTTTTTAATATAGTGTGCAGTGAAATTTTCAAACATAGAAGATGTATATAACTAAGTGAATCAATAGTTTTCAAATGTACAATATTTTTTTTTAAAAATCATACATGAGTTAAAGATCTATTCAAAATACAAGATACATATCAGTGGGTTTTGAGGTAACAGAACAGAAAAAGTTCGTTGACATTATTTCACATTCCATTGTAACTAGTCTTTCAGAAATTACTATTTGTTAAGCTTTGATATAACATCAAATAAAACTACCAAAAGATTGAATGTAGAAGCAGGAGCATCCAGCTGTCTTCTATTAAGTCAGACATTAAGGAAATTTGCAAAAAATGTCAGTGTTACATTTCTTACTGATATATTTTTCATTTTGGAAAATAGTTATTAATTAATAGATACATTAATGTTTATTCTTGTCAAATGAATTAATAATAAAATTCTATGTCATAACTTATATTATGGTAAAGACTGATAAGTATAACCCATATAAACAAAAGCTCTTTCAGATTCACTTTTTAAAATCACAAAGGGGGGGAGGTGCCCTCCCTGGTGGCATAATGGGTTAAGCACAGTACTATGAGGTAACTGCTGCCACTGTGGCACGAGTTCAATACCCAGTCAGGGAGGTGTGACCCACATGGTGTGATAGACCTCTCCTGTCTTGCCCACTGCTCCCCTTAGCAGTGTTTCAGCAGATCTGTCTGTTCTGCTCCCCACTCTCTCTGGTGAATCCTATCACCCCCCACACCCCTGTCCTGTAATCCAGTTCTTGTATATATAAATAAATCAATCTTTAAAAAGTAAATAAAATCACAAGGGGGGTCTTCCTGTTGAAGCTATGGGCAACCACTGTAGCACAAGTTTGGTTCCCATCCCAGGAGGTGACCCACATGGCACAGCAGACTTCTCCTGTCTTGCCTGCTTCTTCCCTGAGCCAATCCCTGTTCTGCTCCTCACTCTGTCTCTAGTGAATCCTTTCATCCCCTTCTCCCACTTCCCTCAACCTCTGGCCTATACCCCAGTTATTGTATGCATAAATAAATAAATCCTAAAAAAGTACAATGAGATAACATTTATTAAAATTAAAACCATAGTGTTTGCTTCAGCAGCACATATACTAAAATTGTATGGAGAAGATTAGCATGGCCCCTGTGCAAGGCTGACATGCAAATTCGTGAAGCATTCCATATTTTTATTTAAAAAAAATTAAAACCATAAATGAGATTTTTAAAAGACAGATATTACTTGATAAAGAAAGTGCAAGATCAAGTACTCAGCTGTTTTGATTTGAACATTAACATGGAGAACCCTTTAAAAAAAATAAAGATTGCAAAGGGATCTTGAGATTTAAAGTTACAGTGTTATGAATGATATGATGTATAGTAACTACTAAGTAGTCTTTCATTGTGCATATGTTGTACAGGAAATTGCACTTGTGATTTAACAAACTCTGTTACTAAAATTGCTATTTATAGACATACCAAAATATTTCTAGACTTTTATTAGTAAATATATTGACAGTATAAAAGTTGTTTTTTTTTTAAAGATTTATTTATTTGTGCATACAGAACTGGGCTACAGGCCAGAGGCTCAGGGGCGGCGAGAGGCTTCACCAGAGACAGAGTGGGGACCAGAACAGGCAGATTGTTGAAGTACACTGCTGAGGGGAGCAGCGGGCGGGCCAGGAGAGGTCTGCCACGCCATGTGGTCACCTGCAGGATAGGTGGGAATCGAACTCATGTGGAAGTGGTTTCAGCTTCTTAGTGCTGTGCTTTAACCAACTGCGCCACCAAGGAGAGCCCCAGTATAAAAGTTTGTTAAGGAAGTTACAATTTATTGAATTGTAGTGGCCAAACAATGGGGAAAATTTCCATACTTTGCATCTTCACCAGAATAGATTATATTAGTTTCTTTAGAAATTTTTCACTAGCTCCTTCCTCTATTCTATTTAACAACAGTCACTCTGGGGCCCTCCCTGGTGGTGCAGCGGGTTAGGGTGCAGCATTGCAAGCTAGCCCCAGCTGCCTCAGTGCAAGTTAGATCCTGGCCCCGGAGGTGACCCACATGGCGCAGCAGACCTGTCCTGTCTTGCCTGCTGCTCCTCTTAACAATGTACTTCATTGATCTGCCTGTTCGGCTCCCCACCCTGTCTTTGGTGAATCCTCTCAATACTCTGCACCTCTGGCCTATACCCCCGTTCTGTAGGCATGAATAAATAAATCTTTAAAAAAATTCACTCTAGATTTTTTATTTAAGGAAAGATTAGGGTTGCTTATTTTAATATTGTGTACATAGTTCTTTATTTTTCCTGAAAAAGGTGACAACCTAGGTTTACCAAAGCAAAAGTGACAACCAGCATAGCCCTTTCCCTGTCTTTTTGTTTTTATTTTGCATATATTTTACATCATTCTTCCCTTTTAAATAATGTTTCTTTTTCCTCTCTGGTGTAGTCTCCTAAAATTCCCAGCACCCATTCACCCATGCAGCATCACCATACCGCTTGTGCTCTTCCCTCCCCTGTTTTGATCCCTCTCCCTCACTTTCCCCTGCATAATGTCTCTGATTTCTATTTGCCTGTTAAATCTCATTGTTAATTTATTATAATTTCCCCCTGATCCCGTATTTGGTTCCCCTATGCTCCTCCTATAAAGTAAAACCAACCAATATTTTTCTTGTTCTTTCTGGCTTATTTCTCTGAGCATAATCCTTTCCTGTGCCATCTATGTTGCAGCAAATGGTGTGAGTAATACTCCATTATGTATATATACAACCATATCTTCTTGATCTAGTCATCTGGATCTAGGTTTTTGTGTTCTTTTGGGTAGATTCCTAGGTGTAGAATTGCTGGGTTACATGGATGCTCCATTTTTAGTATTTTGCTGAGGGGAGCTGTGGGCAAGACAGGAGAGGTCCATTGCACCATGTGGGGTTAGCTCCCTGACCAGGGATCAAACTTGTTGCTGCAGTGGCTGTCTGTAGCTTCATAGTGCTGACACTTAACCCCTTCTACCATGAGGGGGAGACCCTGAATTATCTTTTTGATGCATTGTTGGATTCTGTTGGCTAGGATTTGCCTAGTGTTCATTAGAGAGATTGCCTATAGATTTCTTTTTGTTGTTGTTGTCCATGTTTGGTATTGATGTAGTATAAATGTTGGCTTCATTGTTCCTTCTCAATTTTTTGAAAGATAGGCACTAGTTTGTTTCTGAACATTTGGTAGAAATCATTTGTGAAGCTGTCTGGTCCTGGGCTTTTGTTTGGGGGGAAGATTTTGATTACTGTTTCAGTTCACTGCTTATAATTAGTCTGTTTATGTGTTCTATTCCTTTATCTAGCTTTGGATGATTGTATAGTTCTAGGAATTTGTCCATTTCTTCTAGATTGTTGAACTTATTTGCATCTAACTGTTCATAGTAGTTTCTGACCAGTGTTAATTTCTGCTTTGTTGTAATTTCTCCTCTTTTATGATCTCATATTTATGATCCTATTTATTTGTGCTTTCTCCCATTTTTTCATTGTGAGCCTGGTTAGAGGTTTGTTTATTTTTTCAAAGAATGAATTTTTGGCCTTGTTGATCTTTTGGATTGTTTTTATAACTTCTATTTAATTTATTTCTGCTTTTTTATTATTCACTTTCTCCAAGTGGCTTTTGTGTTTTGTTGTTATTTTTCCAGTTCTTTAAGATGGGAGATTAGGTTGTTTCTTGATATGAGCCTGTATTACTATATATTTTCCTCTTATAATTGCTTTTGCTTGCCCCATATGTTCTGGAGAGTTGTGTCCTCATTGTTGTTCATCGCAAGGTATTAATTTCTTCTTTTATCTCCTCACTGATCCAATGATCTTCCAGTCGTATGGGTCTCAAACTCAAAGAGATAGGAGGGTTCCTTGTTTTCTTTTCATGGTTTAATTCTAGTTTGATGCCTTTATGGTCAGAGAAGATAGTTGGCATGATTTTTATCTTATTGTATCTGTTGATGTTTGTCTTGTCTTGTCTTGATCCTGGAGAACAATTTGTGTGCACTTGAGAAAAATGTGTATTCAGATTTTTGGAGGTACAATGTCCTATAGATGTCTGTTGAGCCCATGAGGTCTAGGTCCTTATTTAGAGCTCTGTTATCCTTGCTTATTTTTTGTTTCAGTGATCTATACATTGGTGAGAGTGAGTTGTTGAAGTCTCCTACTACATAGGTATTTTCTCTAATGTCTATATTCAGAGATAGTAAGAATTGTCTGATATGTTTTGCAGCTCCTTCATTTGGTGAGTATGTTAATGAGTCTTCTTAATCTTAACGTAATGTTTATGACTCTTTTTTACCTCTTTTAGTTTGGTCTTTATCTTATATGAGTATAGCTTTTTCTGCTTTCTTTTTTAGTTCATTTCCTTGTGGGATTGTTTTCCATCCTTTTACTTTCAATCTGTGTTTATCTTTTGTGGTCAAATGTGTTTCCCTTAGACAACAGAAGGTTGGGTTCTCTTTTTTTAATCCAGCCTGCTACTCTGTGTCTTTTTATTGATAAGTTAGTCCATTTACATTTAAGAGTTAATATTGACACAACTGGCATCTGTATTTGCCATTTTGCTTGCACTTTTATGATTCTGTTCCTTCATTTATTTTATTCTTCCTATTGATTCCTCTGTTTGTTTTATGATTCTGTTCCTTCATTTATTTTATTCTTCCTATTGATTCCTCTGTTTGTTTTGGCCTTAGGGCTTCGTGTAATATATTTTGGAGTAGGGGTTTAGTATTAATAAATTTCTGGAGATTCTGTTTGTCTAAGAAGGTTTTTATTTTTCCTTCATAGAGGGAGGACAGCTTTATGAAGTAGAGTATTCTATGTTGGCATTTTTTGGTTGGAATTTGTTAAATATGTCAGTCCGTTCCGTTCTCTTCTTGCCTGTAGTGTTTCTTCAGAGAATTCTGATGTCTGCCTGATTGGCTTTCCTTTATAGATTATCATTTTCTTTCCCCTCATCAGTTTCATTATTTTCTTTCCTTGTCTTAGATCCTTGGAAACTTTACTATTATGTGTCTTGCTATATCTTTCTTTTTAAAGATTTATTTATTGTGTATACAAGAACTGGGGTACAGCCCAGAGGTGTGGCGGCAGGGTAGGTTGGGGTGAGAAAATTCACCACAGACCAAGTAGGGAGTAGAAGAAGCAGATAGACTGAAAGACACTGATGAGGGAAGCAACAGGTGGGTCAGGAGAGGTCTGCTGTACCATGTGGATCAGCTACCATACTGTAGTGGCTGCAGATTGCTTCATAGTTCTGCACTTTAACTGTTGCGCTACCAGAGAGGGCTCTGTAGTTTTTTCACTGTGGTAATTTGTTGTTCTTCTAGTTACCTGTATGTCTATTTTCATGAACTATAGTTGTGGGTGTGTGAGGATCAGCACTCTTTCTGGGCCTTTGAGATAGTTGGGTGGGTATTGGGGCTACTGAGGCCTTCTTTCACCTAAGGACTTGGGGTACCAGCACTATGAGACTCCCCCTGATGTCCTTTCCATTGGGAAGTGGGACCACCAGTTAAATGGTTATGCCAGTCTCAGCAGGGGGAAGAAAAGGAAATGCCAAAGCAAAGGGGCTGCACCTAGTGCTGTGTGCCAGCACCGAGGCCCCATCTGCCCACCTGTCACTGTCTGAACCTTTCAAATGTCTCACGATTCTCCGGTGTCATGGTTTCCAAGCCTGTTCTCCTTTTCTGCTAGATGAAGTTGGTTGATTTTGTGAGTGGGGGAGGGAAGAATGGTTCCAATGATTTTCTCTCTTTTCTTCCCCTGTTGGTCCAACTTTCCTCTGTGTCTGGGTGAATCACCGAGATTGCCAAGTTTGTCTGACATGTTTGGGTCCTGCCAGGAACTCACTGTTATTTCTCCCTATTGTTTGTTTTTATGGGACTACTTGGTCCTAGTGTCTCTTTGCTGACATGTTGATGATGTCATTCATCCTTTCCCTGTTTTTGCCTCTGAAGGTTCAGTCAGTTTGCCTATGGGAAGTAACTTTATTCCTTGCATATAGTAAAATTTATCTTTTAGAATTTCTTTAATTATATATTTTATATATTTGTTCAAAACAGGCACTGAGCTGCCTTTGAAATAACTTCAGCAAGTCATCTCATTAGTCATTTAAAAACTCACTATGGAAAAAGGAACTCTCCTGCACTGCTGGTGGGAATGCAAACTAGTACAACCACTCTGGAAAACTCTTTGGAGGTTCCTCAAACTGGTTAACATGGAGCTTCCCTACGACCCAGCAATCCCACTCCTAGGTATCTACCCAAGAGACACAAAAACAGATTGAAAAAGATACCTGCACCCCCATGTTTATTGCTGCTTTATTTACAATTGGAAAACATGGAAGCAGCCCAAATGCCCAAAAGTAGATGACTGGATTAAAAAGATGTGGTACATACACACAATGGAATATTACTCAGCAACCAAAAAAGAGAAATACATGTTTTTGCAGCAACATGGATGAAGCTGTAAAAGATCATGCTTGGTGAGATAAGCCAGAAAGAAAAAGAAAAATACCCGATGGTTTTGCTCATAGCAGGACTATAATGGACCAGGCGAGAAAATAATAATAATAATGAACAGCCATACATCAGAGACATTTTATGGGGGTGGAGTGGGATATGGGATCAGAAACGGTGAGGGGAGGGAAGTGCACTGGACTAGGGTGATGGCATATGGTGACTTGGTGATGGGAAACACAAAGGGATTACAATTGAGATGAAAAAAAATTACAAAATGATGTAAATAAACTATTATAAAATAAATAAATAAAACTAAAAAAAATCTATAACAAAGATCAAAAGGAGAAGTTTGTATATGTCATATCTTCTCTGCAGTCTTTTTATTTGACCTGAATCTAATTCCAGCACAAATTTATTGTGTGTTTTTCCTATTTCCTGAGGTTTTTTTTTTAGATTTATTTATTTATGCATACAGAATTTATTTATGGGATACAGGCCTGAGGTACAGACAGGGGTGTGTATGTGTGAGAGGATTCATCAGAGACAGAGTGGGAAGAAGAATAGAAAGACTGATGAAGTACACTGCTGAGGGGAGCGGAAGGTGAGACAGGAGAAGTCTGCAGCACCATGTGGGTCACCCCCTATGTCTGGGAATGGAACTTGCGCTGAAGCAGCTGCTGCTAGCTTCATAATGCTGTGCTTTAACCTGTTGTGTTATCAGGGAGGCCCCTGAATTTTCTTTCTTTCATATATAAATAAACTATATGATATAATAAAATTGTTCTTAAAATAGAACATCCTTTTCTTAAAAAAAAAGATTTATTTTTTATTTATTTATGCATACAAGAGCTTAGGTGCAGGCCAGAGGTGAGAGGGTTGAGAGGATTCACCAAAGACAGAATGGGGAGCAGAACAGGCAAATCTACTGAAGTGCAGCAGGTAAAACAGAAGAGGTCTGCTGTGCCATGTGGATTAGCTTCCTGGCTGGGTATCCAACTCATGGTGGCAATAGCTTTAGAGTGCTGAGACTGTTCCATCTGTGCAACCAAGAGGCACTGTAACATCCTATTTTTAGGTGAGAAGAAAGCTGTTCTGAGGAGATTGGTGTACAAATCAAGGAGAATATAATTTTCTTTCTCTTTTTTCAGAGCCAGGCAATGTCATTTCAATTCTTATTTCTTCAGAGTTTTTAAAAATGGATTCATTGGTAAGTGTTAATAAAAAATTGCCTATTTACCCTTGATTTAACATATTACTTGAATCATCTTTCTAGTGTCCAGGAAATTCTAAGATTAGAATTAGTTAATTCACAAGTGTTATTCTATTAGGAAAAACTGTTCGGGTTTGGAGGTACTTTGGTTAAGACTTTTATATATCATTTCATGTTACACCTATAAAACAAGCTATTAGATGAAACTAAACTATTAGATGAAACTAAACAGAATTAATTTTATACCAAACGGTATAAAATTATACCGTTAGATGAAAGTTAGAATGTATTTGTTTCACTGTTTTTTTTTTATTTTAAGGATTATTTATGCATAGAGCTGGGGTGTAGGCCAGAGGTACTGGGAAGACCCACCAGAGACAGAGAACAGAACAGGCAGATATACTGAAATACACCACTGAAGGGAGCAGTGAGCAAGATAGGAGAGGTCTGCTGTGCTGTGTGGGTCAGTTCCCTGGCTGGGGATTGACCTCTTGCTGTAGTGGCTGCCAATAGCTTAATGGTGCTGAGATTTAATTCCTTGTGGCACCGGGGAGGCCCTTTCACGATTTATTTCCTCTAGGCATGTTTTGTTTGTGTCTTTCATTTATTGTTCATTGAATTAAGAATGAGTATCCAACTACCAAACTTTACAGTTTTCTATATAATATAACTATGTATAATCAAATGCCCTTGTCTTTTAGGAATAGTTGATATAAAAACACAATATAGGAGAAATGCACTGGACTATGGTCATGGTACACGGGTGATTTGGTGATGGGAAGCTTTCCCACAGAGATTACAGCTGAGATGGAAAAATACACAAAATGATGTAAAAATAAACTATTATATTATTTAAGAAATAATAAAAAAAGAAACATAAAATAGGGCTCTCCCTGGTGGTGCAGTGGGTTAAAGCACTGCATTATGAAGTTCTTGGAAGCCACTACAACACGAGTTTGATCCCTAGCCAGGGAGCTGACCCACGTGAGGTGGCAGACTTCTGCTGACCCGCCAGCTGCCCCCCTCAGCAGTACACTTAGTCAGTCTGCCTCTTCTGCTCCCTACTCTGTCCCTGGTGAATCCTCTCACAGCCCCTGCACTTCTGGCCTGTACCCCAGTTCTGTAAGCATAAACAAATAAATACAGCACAATATATGTATCATATACATATCAAACTGATATATTCCTATCAAACTCTGTTAAAAGTACTTGATTTTCTTTTTCTTTAATGAATATATCATTCAAATGTTTTTTAAAATTGTCATGAATATTTGTGCTTAACCCCTTATTAAACTGTTTATTTGATTGGGGTTTCACTAAGTCCTTTTTTTTCCTTCTATTTTTCAGTCCCTCCTTACTCAGTTGATAGTATTAATTGCTTGAGGGAAGGATTATAGAAGGGGGAAAAAATTAAAGGAGTCTCTTACCTATTATATTTTAATGGGTAATTGTTATGCCACAGCAAAATATTTGGAAGAGCTAGCCCACTGTTAATTTTAGCAAAACCAAACCCACCTTAGGTAGAAGAAACTGAAAGATAGTTGGACAGCAAGCAGAATACAAATAAGAAAACACAAAATTGTCTGAAATTGTTTCTGCCACTGAAAGAAATTGATTAGTAAAGTTGTCGGTAATTTTCTTTATAGGAAATCATGTTCTGTATACTTGAGTGTGTGGAGTAAGATTTTTGTTTGCTAGAACCATTAAAGGTATTCAATATATTATTGTTTAAGATATTTGAAGAATGTTGAAAATGATTTTTCTCTTTTACATATATGTTTGTACAAATTTTGCCTACTAAACCTCTTTGAAACAGTATAGGTTAACCCAAATAGTCAAACCAGTTAGTGCATGAATCAGACTTTTACTGAATTTTATTGTTGGAAAGTATTTACACGACATTATCTTTCATGCTACACTTAGCAACGTTCATTTTCTGTTCTGTGTGTATGTGTGTGTGTTTTGTTTTTTTTTAGGTCGAACAGTGTATTCAGTATTGCCACAAAAATATGAATGCCATAGTAGCTACGCCATGCAACATGAACTGTATTAATGCAAATCTTCTTACACGTATAGCTGATCTGTTTACACATAATGAAGTCGATGATTTAAAGGACAAGAAAGATAAGTTTAGGAGGTAGTTTACTTTAATTTTAAACCTAATATTCCTGCTAGACAAACTATACTTAATTTCATGTTAGTGAAATATAGTAAGAATACACTTAGAAGTGTATTTACATTTTATTTTAAGATTTTATTTATGTATTTTGCATAGAAGAGCTGAGGTGTCGGCCAGAGTTTTGGGAAATGAGAGGACTTACCAGAGACAGAGTGCGAAGTGGAGCAGTTGGATTTACTGAAATGTACTGCTAAGGGGAGCAGTCATTGGAACAGTAGTCTACTGCACTCGCAATATATGTGAACTAGCTCCTTGGGCCGTCATGGTGATAGTGCTTAATAAGTCTTAATCCCTAGGCCACCAGGGAGGCCCCTCCATTTTATTTTCACTGCAATGAAATTTATACAGAGCCAATGAATAAATCATGATTTTTAAAAAACCCAGTAATGCTCACAAGAACATATATTGTGTAATGAACTATGTTAAAAATTTTAAAACAGGCCTTAGTAGAAATGAGAAGGGTGGTATGAAGTCAGCAGTGGTCCCATCATTTGTAAGGTGTTAGGTTATAACAAGGAGGTTATACATTAGTATTCTTAGTGAGAATAGAAGTTCAAGAGTAGCATAATGTGATTTGTTTTTAAAAGGTCATTCTGGTTGCTATGGGAAGAATAGACTAAGGATATTAGAAATAAAGGAGACCTATTAGGAATCTGATGGAGAGATGAGAAGGTTTGGACCAACTTGGAAGCAGTGGATCTGAAAAGAAGTAGATGGGTTCAAAATAAGCTATAAGAAATATTTAATAGATTTTCAAATGGAATGATGTAGGAAGAAAGTACTTAGGATAATTACAGGTTTTAAGATTGCGCAACTAAGTAAATAGTAAATAGAAGAAAGGCTAGGAAGAAAAGACTGGAGTTAAGGGACTTGAAATGAATTCAGGCCTTAATTAAGATTAATATAGTTAATACATTTCTTGTATGTGGCAGGTCTATAGGAATGGCAGGTGTATAGCTGAATATGTGGATATGTGTGTGGATATATGTTTACAATTAGGTCGGGTCATGACAAAATAGAAATTTAAGAATAAATGAGGTTTGAAGCCATGGAACTGTATGAAATTTCCTAACAGAACCATACTTTTCCCTCTGAATTGCAGTGTTACTTTTATTGTAGGTCAGGTGACTGTATGTGTGAGGACTTCTTCTGAATTCTCCCTTTTGTCTATGATTTTTTTGTTTATCCTTGTATTAGTGGCACGTTTTTTAATTACTGATGCTGTTTAAACATTCTTTGGTGTCCAGTATTATAAGTTCTCCAACTTTACCTTCCTTCAAGATTGCAGCTGGGCCATTTTAGGGCCTTTGTTTTTCCATATAAATTTTATGATCAGCCTGCCCCTTTTCTCTCTTCTACTCTCACACACCTCTGCTGGAATTTGGGATTAATGTTGAAACTAGATCAATTTGGGGATATTTGTTATTTAAATCATATTGAGTCATTCTGTCATCATGGTGTCCGGAGTAAGATAAGAACAGAAATATGACCAATTAGTTTTAGACAGTTTTTTCCAGAGGTTTCTTTCTTAGTGATCATTGAAAAAAAAATTAGCAATACTAATAGGTAGACTCAAGAGAGGACTCCTTTATAGAAGAAAGATACTGGATTATGTTTATAATGATTCTTTAGGATCATGTTTAGGATGATTCTTTAGAGAGGGAGAAATTGAAAATTTTGGAGATACCTAAGAGCTTGGGCCTTAAGAGGTATGAGACGGAGGGGAATTAGTCATGAACTAAATACTTAAAAGTAGGTTTGGGGGTCCTAAATCCAAGTGTGCCCTTTAACAACAGCAGAGTCCAGGTACAATTGGAATTAATGACTTAAGACTTTAAAAATGCCATCATATTGTGCATAAAATACTAATGCAATTAGTAGTTACATTTATTGAATGTCTAACAAGATGGCACTTTTTAAAAACACTATCTCATTAACACTCATAAAACCTTGTAAGTTTGGCGTCATTAACCATACTTATTGAGATGAAACTAGGAAATATCTATATGTACATAAGATGAGTGAAAATACAGCTTTTTTGTGTATGTGAACTAGTATGTTAATGAAATGCAGTTAGACTCCTACTCCTGAGCTTACCTCCTGGCAACATTAATGAAATGTTGTGACTTATTTTATGAAATGTACCATTAGATTATAGCTTCCATTTAGCCACATATGCCTAAATCACATTTGTTACTTTGAGAGAGGCTAAGTAAGTTGCCAGAGATCACATCCAATTTATGGGTAGATCAGGGATGTTAGATTTCCAAAATTTTTGATGTTGAATATTCCAATTTAAAAAGGATTAGAAGAATCAAGATACCCGTAATTCTTATTTTTCACGTGAAAATTGGTTCTTAGTCAAGCAGTTTTCATTCATACACTGAAAATGTATTATAGTTCCCAAAGTGATGCTTTCTTCTTTTCTGTGCACAAAAACATCATTTAGTGTTTATTTAATCACTATTATATAACTTATTTAAGTAAATAAAAGAAATTAATTTGTTGATCATCTGTTCTTAATAGCAAACTTTTTTGTAAAAAGATTGAAAGACTCTTTGATCCTGAATACTTGAATCCAGATTCTCGGAACAATGCAGCAACATTATACAGGTACGGTGATAATGTTTTTCTTTGGTATGCTACATAATACAACAAAATATTTAATTTTGTCACATTTAAAATTTTATTCTTGGGAGTTTTTGTATCACCTTTGTATTATAGATGTTGTTTATGTAAGAAACTTTTAACAAAAGAAACAGAAAGGAGAATTCCTTGTACACCTGGAAAAATCCATGTGGATCGACATGGAAATATTATCTACATTCACATAAGGTGAGTGAAAATAAAATACAGCTTTTTAAAATGTGAATTATAGTATATTTATAAAAAATATTCCTCTAAGGACTAGGATAACATCTTTTCTACATGTGGTCCAACTTTGATTTAGAAAAATGCTACTTCCCAAAGTTGTTGTAAAAGTTGTTACTCAGTGGCTAAATTTTATGTTTTTAAACTTAAAGGTAATAAAAATTAGTGTACATTAACCTTGAAAACTATTGTAGTAAGTGCCATTAAAATTATTTCTTTTCACTAATGAATTTAGTTGTATATTTACCTTGAAAAATATTGTAGTAAGTGCCATTAAAATTATTTCTTTTCACTAATGAATTTAGTTGTATATTTACATATTGTACTAAATTTGATGAGAGAACCAAATTTATTTTCAGGTTAATTTTGGTGAATGAGAAAAACTTTTCCATGTCTATTTATTCAGCATACTTTGTCATTATCCCATTAATACTTAGGCTTGTTTTACTCAACTTTAAGTTCAAAAGAAATTCTCAGTCTGATTTGGAGATGGAGAGTGTTGTAAATTGATATAATATCTCAGAAAAGCAAAAACTTAAAAAAGGTACAAATTGCCTGATAATATTTTACCACCAGAGCTTTATCCAGAGAGGTTATTTGGGTTTGTAAAAGCACTTCTTAAGGACATTTATTGTGGTAAAAAATGTAAATAAAAAAGATTATTTTGAAAAACTTGAAATGTGTTTACTAATAGTTATTCATAACAATGATACCAAATTTTTTTAAGATTTATTTTTATTTATGCATACAAGAACTGGTATGTAGACTAGAGGTATGGGGGTGAGGAGTGATGAGAAAATTCACCAGAGACAGAGGTGGCGAGCAGAACAGGCTGATCTACTAAAATACACTGCTGAAGGGAGCAGCAGGTAAGACACATGCTGCACCATGTGGGTTAGCTCCTTGCCTGGGTATAGAACTAATGCCGCAGTGGCTGGCAACAGCTTGATATAGTGCTGAGACTTTTATCCTTGTGCTACCAATGAGGTCCTGATGCATATATTTTTAAAATTGTCTTTAAATAACTTTAAAACAATTGTGCCTTTGTACTTTATAATAACATGATTGAATTTTGTTATTTGTTGAAGTGAGGACAAAAGAATAACAATTATAGGGGGCCCTCCCTGGTGGCGCAGCGGGTTAAAACACAGCACCGAGAAGCTTGAGCTGCTTCCGCATGAGTTCAACTCCCGCCTGCCCTAGAGGAGATCCACATGGCGAGCCAGACCTCTCCTGACCGCCC